TAGAGGAAATGCGGTAAGCAAGTGATGTACTTCAATGTGTCACGTGGAGCCCAACGTCTACTGTGGGGCGTAACAATTCGCTATGTAGAGTTACGTCCCCTTAAGGCTTCGGGCATTCGAATCCTAGACTCACCTTGATCAAGTTTCTTGGTTTGTCAGCACCATACCCGTGATTGTGGGTTTCACCCAAGTGGTAAACGTCTACGATCTGCACTATTCCCCCCCCCCCCCCCCCCCCCCCCCCACCCCCCACCCCCCCCACCCCCCCCCCCCCACACACACACACACATCAAGCTATAAACTGGCATTAGTCCGGAATGGTACAAGCAGACACAAACGACCGTCGATATATACGATATATAAGTGCAATAATCTTGAACGCATGTGTTCCATTGTTATATGAGAGAGTGTCCGGGTTAGAAAGTGTCCGTCTGGGAAATCCTTGAGTGTCCGCTCGGACTCACAATAGACGCTGTGAGTGGTGAGGTGAGGTGAGGTGAGGTGAGGTGAGGTGAGGTGAAATTGGGTTGATCGTCGCTTTGAAGATAAATATTGCTATTTTATAGCGATGTGTGTGTGTGTGTATGCGCGTGTGCGCGCACGTCCCTGCGTGCGCGTGTGTCTGCTTGTACCAGTCCCGACTAATGCGTTTTCTGCGTCAGGAGGGGTAACAGCAATTGTAGTGTTAGGCCTAAGGAATCTATGAGTTCCTCTTCTGCAAATCGTCCAGTTCAAATCCACAGTTCCTCTTACAAGAAATTGCGTATGTTTCATCAGAAACTTCGACAAGAGAATATAGAAGACCGGAATTATCTCTGAATATAAGCTTAGATACGAAAGTTTGTTTTTATAAGTTGTTGGTGACTTCAGGTTTGCTTTGATATATCGTTGAGCTTCCGTACAGTTTGAATATAATCTCTGTACACTTCGTACACAGACCAGAATACTTTATAGACTTTTAATAACACGGCTGATGTGGTCCATAGAAATATAAGGGACAATCATATTACATCACAATTTACAATCTGAAACAGGATACTCGGACAATGGTGGTTATGAATACATGCCTGTCCGACTTGGGATTTATATAACCAGGTAAATGGCTGGCATAGGGGTTGTTTGTTTATAGCATTGTATTCACGCAGTGTTTGTCGCAGTAAACAGGCCACGTACTCATGCAAGTGGTATGTACATGTATGATAATAATAAAAATAATAATATTTGCGCAGGTAAATATATACAACTTACTGATACATGACAGTTATTGATGCATAACAAGCTCGATTCAGGTGCCTTTGGAAATATTTTGTATGCAGAAGCCAAGCTCTGTCTCATTTAAAATTTACCAACTTGTGACAATCAACGAAGAAAAACAACATTGTCTCCCTTCAAAAATGAATACCCTTAAACACAAACGATACCACATCTGAAAAATCCCCCCCCCCCCCCCCCACACACACACACACACAAATCACTATCCCCTATGGAATATAAATATCAAAAGTAGATAAATACAGAATAATAATCTTCAAGGTCGGTGTTATGGTAAACAAATCTAATAAAAAGGTTATTCTCAGAATTTTTAATTTGCTTGTAAACAATAAGAGCAATGCACATAATATAATTACCGGATACGCCTTCATAAGATGTATTCATTCGAAATACGTATGCATAATTGGGCTTTCCTTCAACTCTGCCAGCCCAAATCGAGCATGAAGATGTCATACTGCCACTTGCTGTTTGACAATAACAAATACCGTTGAAGAATCGTATACGTTCAGGTTTGTGTTGAGACAAGTTCGCTGCAATCAATGAGAAAAGCTCTCATTAGACTGACTGATCTTGTTGGTTTATGATGTCCAGAAAATGCCATTACCATGGTAACTCAATAAACAACCGATGCAGCTTTAGGAGAAAAAAGATGCATGATAATTATCCTTGGCTTAGGGGCAGGAGTCAATCTCATTAAAATCAGATCTTAGTTCTCGCTACCGCTAAACATAGCGAGAACTAAGATCTGATTTTAATGATATTGGGGCAGGAGTATTCTTTGATATAGAGCCATGCTTCCTGGACATATCTGTTGAACAATAATCCACAGTGCTGACTACAGATTGGTAATTGGTAGCTCTGTCATCTTCAGGGGTGTATATATATAATTGGAGAATATTAAGTTGTAATTTATCGATTTTTCGCAGTTGTTATACACTTGTATAGGTGGGGGGCACGGATGGTCCAGTCGTCTTAGGCGCCCGCACCTATGATCGGGTTCAAATCCCAGATTTGCTCTAAATATATTTCTTGGTTTGGTACTACTATACCGTGCTGTTAGGTTTCACTAAAGTGGGAAAAAGTCCAAGACCTGCATCGCTTCTTGCTTTCCTCACACGCTTCAGGGGCGGATCAATTGATATTCTAGGAGGAGGGTGTTGCAAGGTTTTTCTTTTAATATAGATGTCGAAAAAACGTTTGCATATCCCTTGTGACCACCGCAGTAGCACAATTCGTGTTGACGTTTACCACTTTGGGAAAGAATCATTCTATCTTTTCTATTTATCAAACTATATGATCTGTTGCATGGTTTGGAGGTACCAGTTGTATTTATAGTCACAAATAAATCAATTTTGACGATTTTCTGTGACAACTGGGTGGTGAGAAACTACAAATTTAAAATTCCAGGTTGAAAATAATATCGACGAGGATGGGATTCGAACCCACGCGGGGAGACCCCAATGGATTAGCAGTCCATCGCCTTAACCACTCGGCCACCTCGTCCTTATAAACGTTGGTCTGTCACAATTATAACTATCAACTTGTACACAGCTGTAAACGTTAACTGGATCAATGCTCTTGAAGTCGATAGCACGTGACACATTTTCCAAGCCACGTACAAGCTGAAACGAATATGTTCGACATGTACATGCATATATATATAGAAAGCTGAGCCAGCTTTGCTATGCACCGTAAGCTCTTCTGTACGACGTAACATGCTCATTCGTATAACTTATGTTCACTGATTAAAGGATAATACATATATGATGGCACTTCCTCGTTCCAAGGGGACTGGTCATTATGGGTGGTTGAGGTGGGTGTTGTTGGTGGACGATTGGTCTTAGGTCTGTATCATGTTTTATGTAACACCTTTACATTCCCCCAGTACCAACGTACCCCACCCCAATATGTGTAATATGTTTTCATTTGCCCCATCCCTCCCTATTATAAATGACCTGTCCCTAAATAATGCTCAAATTTACCCCCCCCCCCCCCCCCCCCACATACACATAGTTCACATAGTTGTGAGATATTTACCTCCTCCCATTCGCTGTCATTTTTTTCATGACATTTACAACCCCCCGCAAATAAAAAATAAATCATAATAAATAAATTATAATAAATAATAGCACCCCCACCCCCAACCCTCCCCCATAGTTATGATAAATTTAATGATAAAAAATATATATAATTTCTAGTTTGTGACATTTGACGCCCCATGATGTGTATTGGGTCAAAAATGTATGTTTGTTGTTTCCGTCACACTTATTATTCCAACTACATGGCGACGGTCTGTATATAATCAAGCCTGGACCAGACAATCAAGTGATTGACACCATAACCATACATGCAGCTCCACACAATTTAGGATACATTGCCATGCAATCAACAGAGTCACCGAGCATGACCACCCGGTCAAGTTAGTCACCTTTTACGATACGCATAGTTTGCTGGGAACCTATTGTACGTGTAAATAAATATACGGATAAACTTCGCAAATTCCAAACAAGCCGTAATTCCGCGATTAGTATATTCTTTACATTAGCCATGATCTTTTTCTAATTTTTAAAAAGAAAAATGTGAGTTACCTTGAACTCAAGTGGCGACGTCAACGTACACGTTTCCTATTGTTGGAACAACGTCACGTTTTATCGTGTGTGACGTCAAGAACAATGGACGACGTCATCTTCGATTATTTACCACAATGCTTTCTTATGACGTCAGCTCGCTATGGGCCTCTCGCAAAAGAGAAAGAATACAATGGAACAATTGGAACGAACTAGCCAAATCTACATAATGGAACAAATGTTGTCAGACTCAGTGAAAGTTTACTGAAAATATTTTCTCCTTTATCCTTGCCCATACGGGTAATACTATAAAGTGCTGCGAAATTATCACACATATAGACACATCGTTTGTCGTCATATATTGGTTAATCTATGGTTACAGATCTAAAATGGTAATGGTAATTTGAAATATAAGATTAATCATTCCATTGCACACATATACCCATTCGAAAACAATGCCTGATATTGTATATTAATACGACGCAGTGTACCTTCATGGTAAAATTAAAAATAGTTGATTTAGTTTTATATTTAAACCAAGGTTTTTTTTACCGCGAAAAGTAATTAAATCAAATCAAACTTGATTTGATGAGTGTCAGTTTATAGCTCTTGTTGTTTTGAAAATTCAGTAGCATTACTCAGTTTGCATTATGTGTCGCAATCGACTATGTGACAGTTCCAGGAAACAACATACTAACTTAATTACTTCTGTCAGTGCCACACCCCTTTTACTAGCGGTATTTTTTTAATAGAAAGTTCAAAGAGTAAAATGATAACATACTATTTTCTAAACAACGTATCTTAATTTATAACACCGTACGGCCATTACAACAAGCTTTGGTGAACTGTTTTTAAATATATTTATTAAATATATATCTTATTTTCAAAATATCACAATGATATAACAGTGACATCGTTTGAATACACATCCTATTGAATATAAGCCATCGATCATTCCATATTATATATTTATGAACAGTTAATTTATTCTCACTACAAAATGTTTAACTGATTTTCATTATGTTGTTCGACTACTACATATAATACGCTTAAATGAATTACACTCGTATAGAAAGGATTTTGAGAACTATCAACAAGTAGTCCAATGTGATTCGCGTGACAACTGCGTGAAAGACGTGATATCCGGGAGTTTTGGGGGAACTAGTACCAACCTTACGTGGCTAACAAACTGTCATGGCGGAGACCGAAGGACTTGTCAACGGTGTCGAATCACTGTCTGTGAGCGACTCGCCGCGTCCAGATTCTAATGACAATAACTGTGGTGATGAATATCATGTCAAGTGGGGATTTTCCTTGGAGGAACTCTACAAGATCGCCCTTAAGTTCTACAAAGGTAATATCAACATGTGCATGGCAAATGTCACTCGTATTCACTTCGCACCTCGCCGCTTTTCTAGCTCTGTGGTTGAGGCCAATCAATCTAAAAACCTCAAATCCGATTTCGGAGTAAACATTCATCAAAACGCCTAGCGTATTTCGAATATCTCCACACTGTATGCATCAAATGTCGTGCTATTAACCATGAGTACCAGCTGATTAGCCAGCCTACTGTTAACTTGTGCAACATGTCCAGTGATGTCATAAGTTTACTCAGAATAGCCTTTTGCCCAATACAATTTATTACCGTGCACAAGCCGGATGCAAAAGTAAGAAATGAAAAGAAACCAAGGCCATACCACCAAAGAGTTCTAACCAATTAATGTGAACACTCAACGATAGAAACTAACTGTTTTAGTCCACTATTTCTTATAATGATAACATAGCAAAACCCTTATAGGCCTAATGACAAATTTCTACTAGTCCTTATGATTCTTAACTATTAGGCAGTTTGGCAAGGACAAAAGGAGTAGTGCCAATGTCTAATGCTGGCAATGTACGATGTTAAAACACAGTAAGTTTCTCTCGTAAATGTGAAGAGAAAAAGTATTCAAATTGTCTGATTGTGCCATGTGCTGATGTACACCATGGACACTGAACTTGCTGAAGTTATGTAATGTTTATGATGCTTTGACCATGGTGACATGTTTGAGGAAATAACACCATGACCAGCTTGCTTATATGTGTCATATGCATCATAATACATAACATTAAACAGAGTGTGCCAGTGCAAGAAGTTAGTAATTGTCGCCTGTCTTGTGTGCAACATGTGCATTGCTTGTGTTGGCGGCTGTTGCCATGGTTACTGAGGACCATTATCATTTGCAATTGCTCAGATTTTGTTTTTACTTCAGTAATCTTTTAAGGCAATTACGCCTATACACAAGTGATCAAGTATATACATGTAATCATGGTAATGTATTAGATCGATTGTATACATTTGTAACTTGTCAAACATAGTACATATTCTGCATGTGATGCAACAGAGGTTACAGCACATGGTTTTCCTTGAACATGTAAAAGAAAGTCAGGCGAAACCGCATTATCAGTGGTTCATATTGGGAAAGGGAGGTCACTCTAATTTCAAACGGGAGCTATCTCCGTTGTTTTCGTATTTGCGAGTAATGGCGTCACCCACCATGCCCACACTGTACGTTGTTGGTCCAGCTATTAAATGCCCAGCTTATCCCTAAGGTAAAACGTATACGTAATTAAATGTTTGAATGCATTATATATTTATGTTTCCATCAGTACATCTTCTAAGATTGGTTTTGTGGTGATAACCATTTTCTAACATGTGGGCCCACATCTTTCCTGTCATCTATGGTGATCGAAACAAGTGGGCCCACATTTGTATTTCACCTAGCTTCGTTAGGTTGTTTCGTTAGTTCTGATAATCAATCCCTAAATGTGGGCAGACGTTCTTCCGTCATATTGATTGCAACAGGAGGGACCACATTTATTAATCGCAAAATTCTACTTAAATATTGATAATCATTTTCTCAAATGTGGGCCCACATTGTTCCCGTCATATATGGTGATCGAAACAAGTGGGCCCACATTTGTATATCGCCTAGTGGGTAGACGTTCTTCCGTCATAGTGATTGCAAAAGGAGGGACCACATTAAAAAATCGCTAGCTTCATTAGCTTGGCTTACTTATAACCATTTTCTAAAATGTGGGCCCACATTGTTCCCGTCTTATAGTGATCGAAACATGTGGGCCCACATTTTTAAATCGCTGGGTTTCATTAGGTTGACGAATTCATATAGGCTATTGGGCTCACGTTTGTCATTATGTGACATTTTATATTATTCATATTTTGTAATATTGATGGGAAATATCTTTATAAATCATTTAGTGTGACATTAATTCCATGAAAGGCACAAAAGTCTTTGAAGTTTGAATAACTGCGTCATAGCTGACTACACTAGTTTTACAAAAATAGCTACCAAGCAAGAAACTTAAATCTACTTCAAATTAAATTTACAGAGGCAATACCACTCATTCTACTTTTTCCAATATAACACATCAATCTAATCATAAGTGTTGGTGGCGATATAAGCCTGAAAATATGTCTACACTTGAATTGATCTCGGACATGATACAAGCCTCAAACGTTTCCGAGAGCTTGTTCCATAAAAGGAATAACTCATGAATATTAATGACCCCACGACCTAGTTTGGCGATGTTCGTAGAAGTGAGTTCTGCTGTATTGCCATCTTATTTGTACATTTTAATCCAATTATAAGTCATAATACTTATTTTAAATAGACAAATTATGAGTTCGTTATGCGGGTTTGTTTACGTAGTATATATTCTCAACAACAAGTGCGTTTAGTTTCGAATGTGGGCCCACCTCGAACTTTCGATTAGGCAAACGGAGTTAGCTCCCTTCTCGAACCACCGATAATGCGGTTTCGCCGAAAGTCATATTGTGAGGAGTACTTCATACATCTTTGTACATGTGTAGTTCAGTTAGATAATAGAAAACATTATATTCATGAATATCCAAATCATTCAGTTTCTAAAATTTTCCCTTACAACACTGTTTTATTTGTTATTTTGCTACATACGTTTGGGTACAGGTGGTGTTGTAGTCCAAAGGTAATCCAATTCATTTGACGAGTTGTGTCCCTTACCATTGTCAGTATCCGATAATCATGATAATTGTGCGAATAAATCCCAGAATTGACCTAAATAATAAGGTACTATGGTCCATGATGGTCAGCACCATACCCATACTTGTGGTTTTCACCATAGTGTCTTATGTCCATGTCTTGAGTCAGCATTGTCACTTCAGGCTCTCCTCTTGGATAATGCTGACATGTTTGAATTCAAAACTGTTTAACATGGTATAAACCCAGCTTGTTGACAACATTTTTCAATTGCAAAGTGTACCCGTGAAGATCTTGGGTTGAATAGATCTTCAGCAACCCATGCTTGCCATAAAGGGCGACAATGTTTGTCGTAAGAAGCGACTAACGGGATCAGGTGGTCAGGCTTGCTGACTTGGTTGATGCATGGATCGATGCTCATGATATCAATCACTAGATTGTCTGGTCCAGACTCGATTATTTATAGTCCCTGTCATATATACCTGGAATATTGCAACAAACAAACAAACAATTGCCAAGTGACGATTATTAGAAGTCAGCTGGTCATAATGGTTTGAATTTAGCATTGTTTAGATTGTAGACACATGGCAAGCAAGGTAAGTGGTGCTGATATTAAGGTAATTGTCTGGTTATGTGCTGTTAAACATGCTAAATAGACTGGTTAGATGTTTCCCTTATCATTGTGGGCAGTGGGGTACACTAGTGGTTAAGTTTTCGCTTGTCATGCGGGAAGCCAGGGTTCGATTCCCCACATGGGCACAATGTAATGTATGAAGCCCATTTCTGGTGTCCCCAACTGTGATATTGTTGGAATTTTGCTAAAAGCAGCGTAAAACCCAGCTCACTCACTTCTTATTGCAGAGAAAGAAGGAAAAGCCCTACAGGTGACTTACAGAGACAAACTGAGACTTGTGGCGTACACAAAACAGGTGTCGTTCGGCAAGTTCCGCAATGATGTGTCACCCGATGTTGGCTTCCTTGATGTAGTTGGTAATGACAGACGGTAAGTATTTCCAGTATTGGACTTTTTTATGTTGGAACTAGGCTCAGGCCAAATGTCAGCCCTTGTCTGTGACTTTAAGGTTAATTTATTGTGATTCTTACATGGCCGTCAATAGTGCATGATCCTATGATAGTGGCATACAGTTTAATGGGTTGAAATTAGCTTTATTGATTTCTGGTGTTCATTGATGGTGTTCAATATGATGCAGCTGTTATCACACACATGCTGTTGCTAGGCACAGGTTTCCAATACAAAATTTGTATTATGTCTTTTATAACACGCACTTGTCATGCTTATGACATGGGTTTTAAATACTTATTTGGGATTTTCTCAACAACAATGTTGAGATTCAAGTACAATTCTGTTGAGTGCCACAGTGAAATTTGGGACCTGCTGTTAGTGTTTTCTGATTCTGAAGAATCAGTGAGGGAATAGCAAGTGAATGACTGTCAGCAACACCTTACTTGTCATTCCGATCTGTTTGGAATTGTTTGACTCAGTTAATACAATAACTATTATCACATTGGTGACTGTCAAGATTTGTAATTGATGCTCTGATTGCACATTGTTGCAGTGTGGTTGAATTCACTGCATAATTCTTTTGCGTCATATCCTATTAAACAAACATACTTGTGGAAAATGGATCTGTCATGACTCATAACTTAGTGGATATTATCATAATTATGAAATATATGAATTCATTTCCTGCTGGGCCAGTCATCGATCACAAACATGCAAAATTGTATTTTTCAAAAAACTGATGAGAGAAATTGGAAATCAGTGGCATAACGTCAGTATAATTCAAACGTCAGTCGTCTACGTTGCCAGGGCAAAACAGAAATGTCCTGTCAGTAATTGAGATTGGAAGATATTGGGCAGATTGTGTTTGAAGAATTAGCTGGTTGGTTCTTTTGCATGTTTTTTATATGCTGTAACATGATTTCAAACTTGAATCTATCTGTTTAAGTTTTTAAAGCAAGATATAAACAACAGATAATTTGTTGGTAATCACCAGGATGTGGGCTATAATCACCAGACCGACAGACAAAAAACATAGACAAATGAGAGCAGAGTTATATCTCTGTAGAACTCCATGATGTAGGATAACTTGAAATGTGGTTCAATAAGGAGCTGTCAGAGTTGCCATTGGTGTCAATAAGCATGATCATGATGTGAGGTGAGGAGCTCCATTGTTACTGAACTTGACAAGAGGGAACGAGTGAGGATGCCCGGTTGGAATAGGCCCCAAAGTTCTATGCATGTTGTCGATGTAAGAAGCAATAGAGTGGATCAGTTGGTCATGTTTGGAGACATGGTTGATCATGTTGATTATGTGTCATTGTACCTCGACAACATAGGACTTTACTTACCATGCTCATGATATCAATCACTGGATTGTTTGGTCCAGACTTGATCATACACAGTTGCTGTCATATGCTGTAATGTTGCTAAGTGAGACGTTGAACAACAAAGAAACAATCAATAACCATGTTAACACAAGTGAAGTAAATGTCAGTGTTGTTGAATCAACAGCTCTTCACTTCATGTACATGTAGGCCCCTTGTTTCACAAAGTGATTGTATCACTACGACTGTAGTTTGTATAAGACTTATGTCAGTCCTTGAACCTAAGGAAACTGGTCTCAGGACTGACTCCATCATATGAACCAGTTGAAGAGAATGGGATACTTTGAAAGTAAAACAAGCATTCAGGATTTATGAAAATGGACTTTTGGTCATTTGGATATCAGATCCAGCATATTTGATTTCCGTCTGCCACCATGGCCACGGCAAGACCTTTTCATGTCATACAACAATAGAAACTAACATTTTTAGTCCACTTGTTCTTATACCGTATTCGAAGTATTTATTTCGAGTATAATGCGCACTCGTGTGTTATATGCACCCTTAATTATGGGCATTTAATTCTGGAAAAATATATCTTTCGTACATAAACATTTCAGGCTGTCAGCATAAACCACGAAATTTATCTTTCAACTCTGTTTTTTTTCCACCAAAATGACATTCTAATAAGAGCCCCTATTTCTAATTTTGAGAGCCCCCTGGGCGCTTATTACGTCGAATACGGCAATGGTAATATATAACAAAGTCCTTAAAAATGGCGAATTTCTACTAGTCCTTAATTCTTTAACTAGTTGGCAATTGAAAAGAACTAGTAGACTACATGTCGTCCTAATTTCAACCACTGTCATCATGGTCATACATATAATATAGGAAAATCGATGACTGCAGTTGATGTCATGCTAGAAGACGATGATAAAATGGATTTCTAATTCCAGGGTGGATATGTAATCTTTTGATGTAACAATCCGAGCACCAGATAAGCTTTACATGTATAACATGCAAGAAATAAATGACTATAACCTAATTAATTTTTGAGTTACTCTTGCACAAATATGCATGCAAACATTAAGAAACCGAATAGTGTCACAACTCAGTGTGTAGTCTGGTAATTACACAATTTATCCTTTCCAGCAGGTGTTCCTGTATGTTTTTAAAGGTCTTTATTGAATGTGAAGACAGGCATCGTGTACAGTCGTACATCTACTGCCCTGCAGTGATTCATGCAAAAGAGTGCCACAGCTTGTTTATCATGTTTGTTGCAACTTACACATCTATCACTGTTGTTTTCGTTATTGGCTTAACATGCTTATGTGACATGTGATACACACAGCACATGAACAGAGGCAAATTTGAAGCACCCTAAACATGTTAAACAGCATTTTAAGTAGAAATATATTTGAAAAAGGCCCCGACATTGGTTTACTAAATGCCCAATAGACTGGACCCTAGGGAGTAATTATTTTGAGTGCTGCACAATGGCCACCTGGGCTTCAGGATGATTGAATAGATATGGCCACTATAGACATGATTAACATGTCAGCTGTTCATTAACATGATGGCTGATGAGGTAAATCTCTGGATCATGTTGATGCACTTTGCATATCAGTGATAACTGATATAATTTATTATCTCCGCCAACAAGTGGGGTGGGGCATATAGGAATGAAGTTCATCTGTCCGTCCGTCCCTCCCGTCTTTCCATCCCGGGACAAATATTCTCAAAAACTATTTAAGTTAGAGAAATGAAATTTTACAAACTGATCTTAATAGTCATGACCTTAAATGAGTTAAAATATTTGTGTCTTTTATTATTTTTTTACTGAGTTATGGCCCTTGCCCCATGCTTTTCAAGTTGTGCATACTTTCCAAAAGAAATGATGTTATGTTTGTCATCCCCTATAGTCGGTGTTCATCACTAACACTGGTCTGCTGGTCCGAGTCTAGCATATTTTCCAAGGACCAGAAAAATAAGTAAATGCTGGTCCGGTGATCTAGTGTTGTTTTTTGGACAAACAAAGTAATTTAAGTTTGAGCGACTTTTGAAATCAGCAATAGATAAACTCTAAATTCTTAGCAAAAACAACAACCGAAACATTCTGCGTGCTAGTACTGCTACAGTGGTTAACTTCTTGGCTGGTTTCTCATTCTAACTGGAGACATGGATGGCCTAGTCATCTAAGGCGCTACGATTCGCTGTGCAGAGTTGCGTCCCTTGGGCACGCCAGAAACCTATGATTGTGGGTTTGAATCCCTGTTCGCTTCGATTATGTTTCTAGGTTTGTCAGCACCATACCCGTGCTCGTGGGTTTCACCGATGTGGTAAACGTCTGAGACCTGCATCACTTCCGTCTTTCCCCCCCCCCCACATTAAGCTGACATGCCGCAATATAACTGTAATGCTGTTAAAAGCGGCGTTAAACCCAACTCACTCACTCTAAGCAAAACCAGCAACCTAAACATTCTGCATCCTACAGTGGCTACCTTCTTGGCTGGTTACTCATTCTAACTGCACAAAGAAGTAAAACCTTTTGAAACCGTTTTTGGTCAGCGCCACTGTGTCTCATGGAGATCCAACAGGACCAGAAGTTTTTTGTATATGCTGGTCTGTTGGACCACTGACATATTGTAGTCAGTGTCAATCACTGTATGAACATTGATTTGTTTCAGCCCATGGACTTCAATATGATTATGATGGTACATCTCTATTTTGGTAAAATACTCTAGTCATAAGTTTCTTGTAACCATGGTAACCTGACTTCAGACCCTGAACCTTGTTGTTACATATGTAACCATAGTAACTAGCCATCAAGAAACTCATTAAAACATATTTTGAACAAAAACAAAGGTAATCAATATTTGCCTGGGAAACACGATTTAGTTTTGTTTGGGTATTGCCTGATTGTCCTGCAGACTAATATTTCCACTGCCTTGACTGTAGCACTGCCGTGAGCCAGTGGTGAGTATAGTTAGTGTATTGTGTCTCACAACAGCTGTCCTGACGATGTCTCCTGGTCACATGTCTCACCCTCCTGTTGTCCTTCTTCATCTCTTTCCGGTCTCCTCCTCTCTGTAATCGGTTGTTACAGTCAGCATGGTCAACAGGTGTTGTATTAGTTCATGTTGGAACTAAGGAGTTAGCACAGGTATCTACCTGGGTTATCTGTTTTAGGGTCCGGGGGACTAAAGCCTTTAATTGTATGGGTCCCAGGTTAAAAAAATGGACATCCAGAGCTCGGGGTCTTGAAGTAATGTAAACAATTGAATACAGTTCTCGCCCACATCATGAAGCTTTTGACTGTATTGTTTGATTTAAATGATTACATACCATGCATACTGAAATTTTAAGTGGTACCAAATTATGAAATAGCAGTTTGCAGCATTCGTTTTCAAGTATGCATACAATTTTTCCTCATCCCAGTGGATGCACTCTTCTGAGAGAAGTTGCGTTCGAGGAAGCCTCCTTTATGCTTCTGATGAAATAAGATCAAAGAGAAAAACATGTTACATTATCGTTTTGATATTTAATTTTGACAGTGTTGTAGGTATTGCCTTATACTACATGATATTGTTCATTTGAGAACGTAGTGTTGTCTATGTTGTTTTCACACAAAAATTAGCTGAACTGTCTGAACAGATC